AGACGACACAAACACACACACACACACACACACACACACACACAGCCTCAAGCACCAACAGTTGCACACAAGAAGCTTCGTTATTGGGGTAACTCAGGTTGAAGGTAGGTTATTTGTTAACATACAGGGGCTCCGTTTACCCGTCTGCCATATTTGTGATATTTATTTGGTATTTGATCATCTTGCAGCCTGAAGAGGCCTTTTGTCCTTGTTTTCGTCCTCGCGGCGCAGTGACAGGCACATTTTTCCTCTCGAGCGTGAATGCATCTGAATTCTACAAAACATGTTCTGTTGAGCTGTGGAAAGTAAATTATTTTCAGTTTGAGACTTTGGACACTATAAGTAATGGTTCTCAGTGGACTGGGTCTGTGTAATGCACATCCACTGTTAGAACCTGTGTATACATACATGGAAACACACTGACAGATCCGGCCTCAGACCAACAGTTTGGGTTATATGTTTCCCTCTTCTAAACCCGGTTCACACAGCCGGCTGCTGCAGCACATGTGCGTGGCAGAACGTCTGTTCTCAGCTGCAGCGGCGCTCAACAATACCCAGTGAAAAAGGTCCTAAAGTCTTACTGACAATATTCCAGCAGCATATACGGCTGCAGCAGAGACGCTCTCGGTGTGGACACCACAGATCCACTGCTCAGGTCGGCAGTGTGGACCGGGTGTAGAAGTTATGTTACAGCTGTCCTGCACTCTGCATCTTCCTCTCAGGAGACCTTTGGGAGTGTTTCTCCTGACCTCTTACCTCATTATGAGCTTGAGCCTAACCTTAGATCCTGGGCAGAGGTCAAAGCTGAACTTTAGACTGCTCAGCTCAGCTGACACAGTCACATAATGACTCTGCAGGAGGAGTGGTAGCTGGATTCAGACAAAGACGACCTGTCATCTTTTGACCATGTTTGTTGATTGTTCATTCATGTTCTGGGTGTTCATCACTGCTTTCTGTGCGTCTGTAAACTAGTTTTCCATGTTTTAAACATAAATCACTGTTTACAGACTTTGTCTAAACTGGTGGTCTCCGTCCTCAGATGTGGCTGCTGTCTCCGTGTGTCCTCCTGTGGCCCTGCACTCGGGCGTGGGACTCCTGTGTCGGCTGTTTGAGCTGTGGGGGCAGGAACCGGCCGGTGTCCTCGCTCTGACAGAGTGGCTGCTGGGAGAGGAAGAGGAGGGCGATGATGAGGCGGTTGCAGACGAAGCTTCCAGTCTGGTGAGAATCTGTGGCTGTCCGGGAGCTGACCCCGTGGTACAGGAACAAACAGCACAAACAGTACATCTTCTAGCAGTGATTCCCATCAAAGTGTGACTGATAGACAGATAGTGTAGCATTGTTTGGTTCTGCTCAGTAGAAGTCAAAATAAAAGGTTTCCGCTCTCTGTCACACGTAGCTGATTGCCAATATCTTCAGCTACTTATTGATGGATAATCGCTCGGTCACATTTCCAACAATACTGATCTAAAGAAAGCACAAAGTAACATAATAGAACTCAAAAACATCCTATAAAGCAGGTTCCCAACCAACAGGGGTCGCCAAAGCTCAACGGGGTTCTTCATTTTAAAGGTTGTAAGCAGGTTGCTCAGCATTTTGTTCATTTCTGTGAAGAAAACTAAATTCATCCACATCTGTTCTGTTGTTGTTATGCATTGAATATAATATGAAATATCCATAAAATATATGTCACTGAGTCAGGGGGGGACAGTTGACTGTGATAAAAGGGTTATTTAAGGGAACCAATCATGTAGTGTACCCTCCTTTAAAATAACAATGGAAAAACAACCACCTCCCACCAAACTATGTTTCTTTGCAATCAGTATTAAACCACAAAACCAGAGCTTTTTTTTAATGTTTGAAAATATGTTAGACTGTAAAATATAATTAGATCCAGATGGAAGTGCAACTGAGACATGCAATCTTCCTAAACACAGCGGGTGTTTTCCTTACGCTGTGGAGGATCTTCTCCAGAGGACAGGCTGATGTTCATTCATTGATCCAGAGTCTTTCAGAGGGAGATCACTTCCACTAAAATCTACTAAAATGGTGTTTTTACACTAACTAGGGGTCAAATAATGATGTGCAAGGGGTCGCTTATACTGACAATAGTGAGAATTATCGCCTCATTTCTACGTAGCATTTGAGCGTTTCAGAGATGTTGTAAAGTTGTGATATGAACCCGGTTTAAACCTCCTGCCCAGCACCAAACAGACAGGCAGGCAGGGTTAGCAGTTAGCTGCTAAACACAGAGGAGCATTCAGCAAGAGTCTAATATTTCCTTAGAAAGCTGATTCAAATCATCATCCAGTAAACTGTCTCCTGTTTTGTGACCAGGACGAAGAGGACTTCCTGTTTGAAAAGGGGGATCTGAACCTGTGGGCCGAGCCGGTCCAGTGGGTGAAGCTGCTTCGCGGACACCTCGACTCCCTCATCCTGACCTTCAAGCAGACCCAGGTCTCGGGAATCTCAGGGCCGGACCAGCTCCACCAAATCCGTGCGCTGTCAACTCGGGCCCGAGCCAAGGCGCTCGGCTCCCAGCAGGCCCTGGACTCGCTCCCCGCCCTGCCCCAGTTCTCCTGCACCATGGAGCACGCCCGGCTGGTGCTGCGGCGCCAGAGGGCCGCTCTGGCTCTGGAAGTGCTGGAGAGGCTGAGGTAGAGGAGTCAGCAGGCTCCAATAGCACCGAGGGTTTCTGATATTAAAGCTTCTGTTTCTTTCAGAACGCTGTCGCGGGGGGGGGGGCTGGTTTGGTCCAATCTGTTCACAAATTGGCAATAAAAGGTGATTAATACATAAAAATAATAAAGGAATCTTACATATGGATCCTTTAAAATAAAGAAAGAAATAAAATAACTTCCATGAACGAACGTATGAGACCACAGACCGGCTTTGTGGTCAACTCTTTTATTATAAAACCAAAGGAACGAAGGAAACAATCTGGTTTTTCTTTTTTACTGTACGTGTCTCTGACTTACATTGATTAAAAGATGTTTTTAATTAAATATGTCTGAAATTTCTGCGTTTTTTATTCCAATGTTGTCTTTTCCCTCAGAGGAAAGACGTAAAGTTGAATGTCTCACATATTTAATGCTAATCGTTTGAATAAAGAGGCAGAAGAGACAAACAGACAGTAGTAATAATAATAATAATAAAGTCTGGCAGCTGTGAAGCCGTAAGAAAATGAGAGCAACACTCGATGCACTGTTCTCTTATCAGTGGGAATGTGTCACACGACTGTAACGCTGTCAGCACTGAGCGCGGCCGTTCTCCACGTCCAGCAGGGATTTAAGGTTCCTGGAACAAAACAACTCTGCGCCTAAAGCTTCAAGCAACCCAACTTCAATGGTGCGATTGTGCAGC